GCGTGGTGCGGGGTGTAGCGTGGAGACGGTCGCCCACGGGCTCAATAGAAAGCCAGTTACGTGATAGCTAGTACTGTTGCAGTGTGACGTCATTGCGCCTGCGCGGAAGTGTATTTACTGAACTGTTGCCTAGAAGCGGATTGTATAACCTAGTTCCGTTGTTGCCAGCGCGTATCGCGTATGTTTACTGGTCCGTTGCCTAGCAATGCTTTGGCTGTCCACGTTACATGATAAAGATCATGCCTTGTAATTGTTACTGTCTTCTGGGAGGTGGCACCATGTAATCTCTTAGATCTTGAATGTGATGCCATGTTACTTACGTTTCGGGAGGAATATGCTGCCTCCACTTTCAAGAAAGAAAGCACTCGTCTGCCCTGAGAATGAGCGCAGCAGTTTCCTCCGAAACGTACCAGGCTATGTGTTATCACACCCCAGAAGACAGTGCCCTTCATAGCCCGTGCCGTGGGTACCTTAGGATTTGTCATGTAGGTTCAGAAACAGAGATTCTTCATACACATACAAAAGAACAGGTAAAATTATAATTCTGAATTTGTTGTGGTTTGGGATGACTGCTGAATGATGAGGTGGAAGAAATTTGGAAGGAAGCGGTCGTGATCTGATAGAGGTATTTTTTATTGCTAGTGGGGTGGGACTAAGTCCCTTGTACTGCGGCCACTTCTGGCCTATTGTACCAGCCCCAGATGATAGGTGAGGGTGATTGTGGAGCAATTGGTGGAATGAAGATTGGCAGGGGAAACCGAAGTACTCGGAGAANAGCGCTTGGCCTAGTCGACCTCGACTTTGACACTTGTTTCTACGTCTGTCTAATTGATTGTGGATTATCGGGTTATCGTATAGTTAGAAATGTCGTCATAGTTGTGAAAAGGAAACAGATAGCTTGTGCTGATACGCCTTGAGAATGCCTTTGTATCAAGTTCTGTGGTCACAAAGAGATGATCCTTCTTAGGGTCAAACTTCTGTTGCTGACTTCAGGCACGCTGCCTGTCAGAAAGGCGCTTCTTAGACTTCAACTGTCACGTGATTAAGCGTGTTTTGAAGAATACTGTTATATCGCATTTAGAATGCTCTGATGTATTGCGTAGGAAGTCGTGATGATTGACACTGGCGTGTTGGGTTCGATTCCTGCTGGAGACACTGGAAATGTGGCATCTAATCACTACGTCCATAAAGTTTCCTGGAGCTCACCATTGAACACGGGTGCTGAAGGAGTCTGAGTAGGGATCTTATCTACCTCTAAAGTTAATTTTAATTTTACCTCCTCGCTTCCTATACATATTCATGGCGCATTGTCAAGTACCTCCACATTTTATGATGTGCACCTTTTATTCGAGGATCCGGGGTAGCTCAGTCGGTATAGTGATCGACTGTGGGCTGGACGACCGGATTTCGATTCCCAACGTTCTTTTCTACTCCACCGCATCCAGACCGACTTTCGGGGCCTACCCATCCTCCTATTAAATTGGTACCGGGCGCTCTTTCCCCACAGGTAAAGCGGTGGGTGTGTGAAGCTGACCATTCACCTCTATCTAGTGCCTAGGTTAAAAATGGTGGAGCTATACCTTCATTCCCCCATACATTTTCGTGGCGTAGTGCTTAATTAATTAAGCACAGGAAAAACTTTACCTTAAAAGAAAGCCGTCTTCTGGAATGTGGCGCCATGTATAAATTTTGTTATGCGACGTTTCGGAGGAATGTATCTTCTCCATCTTCAGGGTAGAAGGCAAGAAGAAATCCGCGAGCGAACCAGCAGAGCAGGTGCAACAGACTGAATCCATTCGAGTAAACACAGCTGTATAAGAGAAGGAGAGAAGGTGTGTGGCTGCATAGGGAAATAGTAGAGAGGGGGAGGGGAAGGGTCTGGTGGAATGGCCAGCAGGTAGTGGGCCAGAGCTGGTATAGAGTATGTGTCAGCGGGAGAGAAGGGAATGTTAATTGGAGGGCATTAACCCTGTAGCTCGGGGGTTGCGATGGACCTGACTGGCCTTTATGGTCTTCCGTATTTCGGAGGTTACTTGAGGGAACAGACGAGAGGCTTCCATGACTTGCTGAGACAAAACCCAACCTCTGTGTGCATATGGTTGTGATGGAGTTCAATCTCAATGGCCTCCCTAATGATGCGATCCATATAGCGGGTCTAGGTGGCGAGGATGGAGGTATTCTGAAGGTGAATGCGGTGTCCCGAATCGATGCTATGTTCAGCAACAGCTGACTTGTCTGGATGTTCGAGACGGATGTGCTGCTGATGCTCCTTCAACCTCGTTTCACAAGACGGCCTGTCTGCCCAATATAGACCTTGCCGCACTCGCATGGGATAGTGTATACACCCGACGTCCTTAGTTCTAGGCTATCTTTGACCGACCGAAGGAAACTAGATAATTTCTTTGGAGGCAGGCCCACTGATTTGATGTTGTGCCGGGACAGCATTCTGCTGATTCGGTTGAATATAGACCCGACATAGGGCAGGAAGGCGACTGAGTCCTGTTTATCTTCGGGATACCTGATGTTCAGCCGATGGTTGAGAACTCTGTGGATCTGCCTGTACCTGTTCTTCCTGAATACATCCCCCAGGAGCACCAACTTCGCATGTAGGCTGTCTTGATCACATAGAGCTCTAGCCCTGTGCACCAGTGTGGAACGTGCAGCTTGCTTGTTGGAAGGGTGGTGGTGGGACGCAGCGTTAATGTAGAGGTTTGTACGGGTGGATTTGCTGTACACTCTATGGCCCAGAGAACCATCAGGTCTCATGTAAATATCTATATCCAGGAAGGGGAGGTGGCCCTCAGTTTCAGTCTCCATTGTGAACTGAATGCACTGCTGGATACTATTTAGGTGGTTCAGGAAGTCCTTAAGCTTGTCGGGGCCGTGTGGCCAGATGACGAAGGTGTCGTCCACGTAGCGAAACCAGCAGCGGGGCTTGTGTGGGGCCAAGTCAAGTGCCCTCTCCTCAAAGTCCTCCATATATAGGTTTGCGATGACCGGAGAAAGTGGCGAGCCCATCGCCACGCCATCGGTTTGTTCATAGAACTGGCCATTGAAGTTGAAGCATGAGGTGGTCAGGACATGGTGGAAGAGTCTCAAGATATCTTCGAAATGTCGTCCTAGCAGATCCATAGTATCCTCTATAGGCACCCTGATGAAGAGCGACACTACGTCGAAACTGACCATTATGTTGTGGGGATCGGCATGGAGAGAACCCAGAGTGTGGACAAATTCCATTGAGTTACTCACGTGGTGTGGACAGTTGCCAGTGTCGTTGCTCAGTAGACCAGCCTAGTGTTTGGCCAAGAGATAGGTGAGAGAGCCAGTAGTGACCACAGTGGGCCTTAATGGAACGTCGGGCTTGTGGATCTTCTGCAACCTGTAGAGTCTAGGTGGCCTGGAACTTTGAGGTCATAGCTGTTGGCACACCTCCTGAGAAATCGGGAACTTTTTCAGGAGAAGAAGAGTCATGCGCTCTATGGCATCAGAAGGATCCTTCTTCAACTTCTTGTAGGCTTTGTCCTCCAAGAGAACGGCGATCTTCCGGTTGTAGTCGGACGTATCCAGTACCACGGCCGCATTACCCTTGTCAGCCGTGGCAACGGATTTATAACAGAGTAGTTATACCAGTTTCACATATGAAGTCTTCTTTGCACCGCCTAATTTCTTTCTTGCCATTATTCTGCCAACTTTCCAACTCCGAAGTCTCGACTCAGTTAAATTCAATTCCTGTGCTCCCTAGCTCGTATCCTGGCAGACTGCCGTCTCGAAACTCAACTGAACTCTTCTTTATGACCACTTTGCATGACTGAACAGAAAGCACAGTTTCCAAAAATACCCTTATTGTATGTTTACAGATACGTTGCTTAGAAACGGGTTCTTCTACTGTAGCGTGCGTATTCGCTGCGCGGGAATGTGTTTACCGATCTGTCCCCTAGAAACGTGTTGCATAACACTGTTGTTTATTCGACCGTTGCTTAGCAACGGCTGTACACGCTACAGTATTTTGTATCTGCAGCACAGTGGAATTGACAGAGACGGGACGATGGATATGTCACTCGAAATCATTAAATGGACCCAGAAGAAATCCATTGGGCTTTGTATGCATCTTCGCATTCTTCACTTATGCTACAGCCTCAATCTGTAGTATCTCGCTTGTATTTCTTTACTCTTTGTTCTCATTCTCTCATCAGTGTCCTCCCGTTTTTCCTCTCCTCTTGCTCCCACTTTGGAACACAAAGCTGATTTCTCAGTGTCGTGATCGTTTTCGCAGAAGGCAGGACTCCTTGGGCGGGAGATCAGCTCGTCGCAAGGCCTCTACCTAAACACAAAATAAACGCATAACCAAACAAA